CAATGTAAGATGCTGTTGCCCCCCTCCCTCCCACCCCCCAAAAAATTCTGTTACCTGATTTTTCTCACCTAAATGAATCTTTGAGTTGGTAGATTTAGGGTCTCACTCTACCCAAGTTTTTCTCAGGTCTTTGCAAGAGTCTGTCTTGACTGTTTCAAACACAGTTTGTTTTCAAATGCTGCATCAGAACCTTGGAGTCTTCTCACACTCATTACTCATCTGCTGCTGCTTGAGATACCTTGAGGTTGCTTAGTGATTCTTGCACTAAATACTAAACATAGGCAGTGAGGATTTGGGTTTTACTCTAAACCTTCCCAACAGGTTTTGATTATGTATCTTTCCATCTGCAGCTTTTGACAGTGCAACAGAAAAGAACACTTAGGAATTTGCTTCTAATTTTGTGGACATAGATCTCCCACAATGAGAACAAGCAGCAGGATTCAGAGTAGTTCATGGAACATTGAGAGTGATTATCCTGAGATGCATTTCCCTTCTTACTGCACAGAAATATTTATTTCTAATGGATGTGCAGTTGAAAGAGGGAGTCAGATATCTCCAAATAAGTTCACAAACTTTAGCATTAAGTACTTCCTGAAAGTTATTGTTTCAGTTGCAGGTAAGATTAAGAATCACTTCTCTGTTTTGAAACAATTGTAAAACAAAAATTCTATAGCAATAAAAACTTGGATTTTCTGAGCCTGGAGACAAACAAATCACCTTCCCTATACCTCTCTGAAAACCACAGCTGTATTTCCAGAGAGAGGGCACTTCTGTAGGAGTGCCAAGCTTACCTGGTGTACCTTGTGGCAAGTCAGATAGTGTGTTGAATGTGTAGTTTGGGTGTAGGGGAAGAGGAATAATAAATTTGACCCCATGGTTGTCTCCAGACTAACAAGAAGCACTGCGAAGCCAGAACTGGTCATAAAAGGAAAAGTACTGGCTAAGGAATGCCAGGAGGTGTCTGAAATGCTTGGAACATTTCTCCCCTGTTATCACAAGGGGTAGTAGTAGAAATTCTGTTCAGAGGGCTTCATGCCTTGGAAGGCAGAGTCCTGTGGAGGGAGATGCAACTTTCTGAGCCAGCTGTGGTGAATACCTTGCATTTCCCCATGTTTCCTTACATGAAGTGGAGCTTAAAACCAAACCAACAAACAACTCACTTTGCAGCAGAAGCTTCTGAAACTGAGAAAGAGTCTCATCGCAATAACTACAGTAACTGTAACCTTTCTGTATTTTGAATTGTTTTGTAGTTGGTTTTTTTTCCTCCGATGTGCACTTAAAAACTAATTTTCCTTTGCAGTTTAAGATCCTAAACGTACCGATGTCTTCCCAACTTGCTGCAAACCACTGGAACCAACAGCAAGCGGAACAGGAGGAGAGAATGAGGATGAAAAAGCTCACGTTGGACATCAATGAAAGGCAAGAACAAGAGGACTACCAGGGTAAGGAAATCACCAGGTTTCTAACTTGTATTTTCAGAGGAACTTCCATGGATTGATGGAAAATATTGTTTGTGGCTATTAGCAGTTCAAGATGTGAATATTGATTTGCAATGGAAAATTTGTGTTTTAGTTTGTCATTCGTTGTTTGCTCTCTGATCTCTGTACTTGAAGAAGTTTTTATATTCTTCCCATGAAAGAGAGCTTTCAAGTAGGCCTCAAATGTCAGCATTTCCAGTTCTCTGGGGAAAGGGGAAGAACTGAGTTTAATTTTGTGTTAATCTTATTTTTAAAGAAACAATCTGATGTTTGTGACATTGTCTCCATTACTGCAAGATGGCAGAGTTGAATACAAGATGAATTCATGCTGTGCAACTTAAACTCTCCTTTTAAGCTGTTAATGCTGTTTTAGATATTAATGGTATTTAGACTCTTCGTTAGTTTTGCTGAGACTTGTGAATACTGAGGTAACATTCACTGGAGAAATACAAATTATCACCTCAGCTTCATATTGTAAAGATTCTAGGAGAACTGAAGTCTGGAGTGTAAGAATATATTAACAGGGACCTGGATAGGCTGGAGAAATGGGCTGATTGCAGTGGAATGAGGTTTAACAAGGCCAAGTACTGGTCCTGCACTTTGGCCATAACAATCCCATGAAGTGCTCCAGGCTGGGGACAGAGTGCCTGGAGAGCACCAGGCAGAAAGAGATCTGGGAGTTTGGATAGATAGAAAGCTGAACATGAGCCACCAGTGTGCTCAGGTGGCCAAGGCCAGTGTGCCATGATCTAGTAACCGTGGTAGGGTTGGACTTGATGACCTTGGAGGTCTTTTCCTACCTGGTAGATTCTATAAAAGTGCAGGTTTCACACAAATTACATAATTCAATTTGTTTTTTGAAGATATGCAGGTCAAGCATTTGGTACCTGGACAGACTGAAGCAAACAATAAATACAGTAGATCTTACTGCACCTAAACTGGTGCACTCGATGTCTTTAGTTGTTGGGTGATTTGTTTTAGGTTGGGGTTTTGGTTTTTTTTCAGCTTCAACTTTGCTTGGCTTACTCAGATAGTAAACAAAGCCAGACCAATAAAACTGATGGTATTCAGCTCATGTGTTAGTGTTTCCACTTAACATCTCCCAAGTTCTTGCTCTACTTTTTTTTTTTTTAAATAAAGATGTTGCAGTCTGGTGGTAATCACAGTATAAGTAGTTAATTAGGAGGAAATCTCATTTAAGGTATTTAGTGAAAGGTCATTGTTCATCAAGAAATGGGAAATTTAAATTAAAGCAGCTCTGGAATCTGAATTCTCTGGATTGTGACAGCAGTCCTTGCAGAACTGGGATAGTACCAGAACTAAGTGTGTAGTTGTAAAAAGGAGTGTTTCTCAAAGTGAGAGTCTGCAGAGCTCTGAAGTGGTAGCACAGTTCTTAGTATTCTGAATATTAGATACTGCAATCAGCTTAAAAAATTCTTGTTCAAGATGTTCCCCTCTTATAAAGCCAATTTGTGGAGAAGGAAGAAAAACAGTAGACTCCAGGATCAGACATTTTGGTGCTGTTCTCAGACTTTGTGTGGATTTTTTCTTCATTAGATTCTTCTGATATTCTTTACTGGCCATGGGCATTTGATGTTTATGCCCTGTTGTGTGACTTTGCTGATGTCTTTAAAACAGTCTGGGGGACCCAGAACTGAACAGAGTCTGCCTAATCTAGGATTTTATTGTGAGCAATTGTACTTCTTGTGCAAAAAAGGATCACATTGATTCATTTCTCTTGGACAAAATCAGACAACTGAAACAACTGAAAACCATCAATAGGCAATTTTTTTATTATTTCCTCATAGATTTTCTAGGTGCTGTGTACAAAGCATTAATGTGGGAGGGAAATCAACACCGAAATGTTCCATAATTCTTTTTTAAAACAGCTGTTGATTCATCTTATTAACCTGGGTAATACAGACAGTAAAACCAAACTAAAAGGACCTTTTAATCAGGTTAAATTAAACAGGTCAAATTACATTCCTCTTTGGAAGTATTTTTTATTTAGATTGCGTGCAGTTGAATTGTTGCTGTTAAAGAGTCATCTTGTCTGTAACAAGTTGGCACGTACCCTTTTAAAGGAGGAATTGTGCTTAAATTTCTATTTCAAGCTTTGAAGTTCCCAGGGGAGGAAGAAGTCTCAGTCTCTGGAAGAATGCCTCGGGGTTGTCCCAACACTTGCACATATAGTTGTGTTTTTTTCATCTGCACAGGGTAGCTAAGAGATGGCAATTCACCAATGCACTTCAAAGTAGTATCAGATAATGCTTTAATGCTTCAGCAAGGTTTATTAGTCTTACAAACGTGTTTAATTTAAAGGAATATTAGGCACTGGGTGGCTCTCCAGTTTAGACTGGTATTTTCCTGTGTAGATGGGTTTTTGTGTTCACTAAACCCGAAGATGGGAGATGTGCCTTCAGCCTAGCTAACACATTGTGCTCCCCTGTCATCAGTGCCCTCTTTCACATTCTCCAGTACTGAACTTCCCAGTCACTGAGTTCTCACAGACCCTGGTACCTTCTTCCTCCTGTGGCATGGAAAACAGAAGAGACACACATCGTATTCTTGCTCATTCAGTGCTTCCTTCTAACACCTGGCTTGGCAGTGTATCCTGATCTCTGATTTTCTTCTTGAGCCTCCTCATTGCCCCCAGAGACCTCTCCTGGCCCACAGGATTGTTTGGAAGGATGCTGCTTCATGATATTTACATGGACTGGCAGTGTGTGAATGGCTTTCTTTGCATTTTCCAGGTGTTGAATGAGGAGTGCACAGAGCATGAGTACATTGGTTATGGACTCTTGACACCAAAATTGCATATTAAATCAGTCATAGTCTCCCAGTTTCTCAAGGACTGGGTGGATACTTACTGAAAGCTTCACCTGTGTTTTGTATATGGCAAGAGAACCTCCTTAGAGTCTCTAGATTTGCCCTGTGCAAGCAATTGTGAGAGCAGTGGAAGTGTGTTTGTAGCAGATGATGGGTATGTGTCTCCAATGAGATTACCAGAGATTAGAGAACCAGACAGAGCAGACTTTCAAACATAATCTGTTTAACAGCTTATTCCACTTTTCCCCTTCATTTATCCCATCTGTTTGCTGAGTAATGCAGATCTTGCACAGGTGGACTGTCAGGAATACTTTCCATTAGATGCACTAACATATGTGCAGAGGTTATGTGGCAGTTCTTGTGATGTATTTGGAATTATATTGGCTGCTTAATAACCATTAACTTTGCCTGGTAAAGAGACTTTTTTTATCATTAAAAGAATGAAATGAAATTGTAGAAATTAAGTTTTTCCAAATGCCAAATTACAGTATTTCCATAGCTTGAACTGCCCAGAAGTTGTCTGTCCAAGGCTGATTTAGGTCATGTGGACTTTTTTCTGCACCCACCAAATTCTTCATCCTGATGATCAAGTGAAAAACTCCATCCATGGGACAGCTGGTGCAATGTAGGTCAGCTGAGTCACCTTCTTCTGGTGCCTGTCTTCCCTGGAAAAGGATCCAATTATGTCAAGCTTAGACTTAAATACCTGACTCACAGTGCCTAATTTTAGGACAGGTTTCTTGCTGAGTCTTTAATTGGCAGCAGCATTGTCCAGTTGTTAATATTTCAGGGAGGTTTGGTGTTGAGACCCCTCATACTGCTGTGAGTCTTTGTCCCTGATCATTGGTGGAGAAAGTGGTGGCTGATGGAAAGAACAGGTCACAAGGCCCTTTCTTAAGCAGCTGTGATGAAAACCATTGCTGGCAGTTCCTTCTGTAGGAACATCTGGAACTGGAAGTGCATATTGCAGAGTAGTTTGAGTTTGTCAAAGCTGTCGCTGCAATTCAGTAACTTCTTTTAATTAGCTGTCGTGGAATAACTCGAGGAGTGTTAACTATAGCCAAGTGTAAGTTAGGGTTTTTTTACTAAACAGCAGTGAAATGTGCTCATGTCAATTCCTCTGCAAAAAGATGCATGGAAAATGTATTTAACCTTGTTGTGTCTGCAATTCCAGAAATGCTGCAGTCTCTGGCCCAGCGTCCTGCTCCAGCCAACACTAACCGGGAGCGACGGCCTCGGTACCAACATCCCAAGGGAGCACCTAATGCAGATCTAATCTTTAAAACCGGTGGGAGGTAGGACAATCTTCCTTCAAATGTGGTAATTCTGGTTCTAGGCAAGTAATTACCTTCATAATTGAAACAGATAATGATCTGTGTAGTGCAGTTATGTCGGTTAGTCACTTCCATTCTGAAGCATTCCCCTGAAATACTGAGCAGCTTTGTGCTGTTACCCCCTTGACAGAGGTTTGGAAGCCACAGGATTATTTTTTCAGTTGTAAAACGGCTGTAGAATCTGAGCCTCGTTTTATAGGGAAAAAGATTCAAATCTGCTTTCTCGGGGAGAGGATGTTTTTGAGGTACTACAGAAATTCCTGTTGTGCTTTTCCTGTTTGGTGAATTTGACAGTTCTGTATTTGGTGCCCTGAATGGCACGTGAATATAGTAAAGGTGAGGAGGGAGAATGAGAATTTTCAATTAATTATGTGCAAGAGCATACTCAAACCAGCATTGACACGAAGGGAGTCACTCCAGATTGCCTAATAGTCGTTCTGAGGTTTTAATATATCTGAGTGTCTTTCCTCAGAGTAAGCTTGCAAATAAACCAGTACGTTAGCCCTGCAGCACAAATTTGAGTAGACAGTTTCAGCTGAAACAGAGACTTGCTTTCATGTTTCTCTTTTCTCTGCAAGTTCATTTTGGAGGTGGATGGATAGGAGCAGCACCTGGGACGGGAGAGTTTACCTGCTAATGGGTCTGTCTTTGTAAACTGCAAATGAGTTCATGTAGTGTGCTGATCCTGTGTTACAGCAGCATTGCCATTTTCTTCATAGTACACACTCATAGTCCTTTTATAGCTACCTGATGATCACTCACTCTACTGAGACCCTGCACAGATCCTGCTTGTACAAAAAAACCCCTTTTTTAGAGATACTGCAATTTAAAATGAATGTTTTTTAAAAATGAACCAGATGTAACTCAACAAATAGAGCAGTGCCCTCAATTTAGCTTTTTGGTATCACTGGCCTAATACTGTCCTGGAAATACAAACTGTTCAGTCACACTGAGTTGCCACAACACTTGCAGGTGTCTCCTCACTCACTGTGGAGTCTTCTCTACTTTCAGTTGCCTTTCCCAAGTGCCTTGAACCTGCACAAGGAGCAGTGCAGTGATTCTTTACATGCAGCAGCCAGACCAGTAGACATGATATTTGTAGATTTCTTCTAAATGTAATTCTTTAGAAAACTTATTTCCAGATGGTTTAGAGAAGATATAATTGAGGACTTCACTGTCAACTAGGTCAGACATTGTCCAGAATGGTTTGAGTAGTGTTTGTTGGTTCAAACTGCTGCACATGCACTTGCAATTCTGATGTAGCTTTGTATTATGTAATTTACTCTTGGTTCCTTGTAATCCATAAGCTCCTTATAGAACAGAGACCAGAAGTTTGTGTTAGCAGGTGGATGTTGTTTGTTGTGTACTGCAATGCTCTGCCTTGCAGCCATGCACTGGTTGTGCTGTCTTAGCCTGCAGTAAGAGAATGTTACTTTCCTTAGCTCCAGCTGAAAGATAATTAAGCAGAGATTTATTTATTGGAGACTGTGGATGTACCAATGGCTTCCAACTGGCACAGATTGTCACCTACATTTTTTAGAGCTTCAGCTTTATAAGATGTATTGAAGATTGTCAGATTCTGACTTTGGAGGGCACTGCAGTCTCTGCCCAGACCTCGCTCGTGTTTTAGTTAAGAGTTTACCCTGTGGTCTCTGAGGACACTGGATTATCTTCCTGAGATCAGCTAGGAACTGAGCTGTTAATTTTAGTATCTGTTTGGAGATGGTTTCACATTCCCACGTGGTAGAACCACTGTGTGTAACACAGATTTTATCACTTACATAAGTGCTCTATGTTGTGTTGCTACTTTTTTGTACCTGAAGACAACTGATTGGTTATTTTCTTGCAATAATAACACAAACTTATCAGAAATCATAATTTGTTGCTTTCTTTAAGGAGAGCAACTTGTGTTTTTAAAAAAATTTCCTATATTAGGGATAATCTGAGCCAGCACATCTCCTCTTGATTGCAGTGTAGTGTACAGTCTGACAGGTTCTGATAGCCAAGGCAGGGCTGAGGCCTTGCTTGTGTTTCAGGTAGTGTTAAAATAGAGAAATTGATTTGCTGTTTTTACCTTTGCTTTTTTGTTGCTAAACACATCCTAAACACCTTGTTTGAAACACCTTTTAGGAAGCTAAATCCAAATCTCCTACCATAACAGCTGATTTCAGAAACTAGTAAAGGAAAAAAACCAAGAAACAAAACAAAATAAAAAATCACTGATAAAAATCTTTTGCAGAGTTTACTTTGTCATCATTTAATGCCCTTTGTCTGTATTAAAGTAAATGCACTGAGACTTGCAGGCTTTGTCAGATTTCTTATTACTTAATATGTGCAAAAGGCTGGATCAAAAATTGGAGTTTATTGCAGTTTGTTGTAATCACCTGCTGGTATTGCCTCAGGTTTTGAGACCTGCTAATCCTGTAAGGAGGAGATTCAGTTTGGAATTTGTGCATTTAAGGCTGACTGGCCTTAAAGATAATTTACTGTGACTCCATTAGAAGTGTAGGGCTCCTTGATTTACTTCAGCACAACTGGGAAGGCAAAAATTTTCTCTCTTGCCTCCAGTTCTGTGGCATTTGCTTGTTATAGAGGAGTTTGGCTCTCAGGCTGTTAAACTGGTACCTTCGGGAAACACAGAATTTACAAAACTCTTTTTTTTCAGTGATGGTTTTATCATGAAAATATTCTTTTGCAGTTCTGGAGAACAGCCTCTCACTTAAAAAAATTGGTTTTCTGTGTTTGAAGATTTGAGACCCATTTTCACTTTCACTTTGTCAAGTGAGATGAGAATAGCCACATTGTATGAAATCTGTTTAAAACCATTGATTACCAAGAAAGAAAAATGAACTACAGTGAGAAGTTTGACTACAGAGAACTACCTGAGGAGGTTTTTTATCTTGTTCAACCTCTCCTTATTAAAAGCAGTAACCTGAAAACTATACCCAGAGTATAGCACAGAGGGACATGCCTGTGTCTAAGACCCATTGGGATGCAAGTTTAAGCTGGCAAACTAAATTATATTCAAGTTAAGTGGTGATTTTAGGTCTTCTGTTTACATCTGACTCTTATTTCTCTTAACCCATTTAATTAAGACAAATGAAGCATAGCAGTAATAGCAGGATGCTGGGATTTTATTAGCTAAATATTCCCATCACAGAATATTGCATTAATGCTGAAAAATCAGAGTATGGATAATAAGGAAAAATGTGAGTTTAACATGATTTCCTGTTTCATCTACTGGACAAAACACACTTCATACACATCACCTGTCTTGTGGTTCATGCATTGACCAATTTTTATTTTGAAGCATTGTGTTCAATCCAAATTCATCCAAACCCCCTTTTCAGCTGTTTTAAGGGAGGGAAGCCCAGGGTAGGGATATGGGAAGGGGGCTCCAAGTCCTGCAGGTTTTTCTGGTGGACTGGACAGAAAGAGCAAGAGAATCCAGGCCCTCAGGTGTTTGCCTTGGCAGTGTGGTGCTCCTTGGGCTCTGCAAACCAGGGGTGAGTCTAACCCAGGCACCAAAGGTGGAGAGAGACCTGATCACTATTCCAGCTTAGAGGGAAAGGAACAAAACTGTGTTTGTTAGCCATTCTCCTTTGTAAAGACTTTGTGTTTTAAAAAGTTCTTTCAATATAAAGAACACCAACAACAAAAAAAAAACCTCCTGCAGCTTTGTGGGCACTGGAAACTACCCAAAACACCTTCCTGCTAATAGCCCACTCTGCACACTGTGACTTGATTTTGTCAGAGCATTTTTCTTCTGATGAACAGATGAGAATATAAAATAACTTGCACAAGGTTCTCTTACTTAGGTGAGTCCAACTTTTGTGGGTTATTTGAATTTGTGATGTTCACGGTATGGAATTTGGTAGACTTGTGAGGAAATTCCATGAGCACCTTGGTGTTTTCTATTTCATGTTCCTGGTTTTAGTTAATGTGATTAGGGGAGGGAGAGAACAATGCATCAAAATTGAGATTAGTCATGGAAAGCAAAGCGAGTGAGATGGGACAAGACATCTTTGGAGCAGGAGGTTTGTGAAGAAATTTATGAAGAAATACAGTACTTGGAAATGCAGAGAGCGTTGAGGATTGGAGGACACAGGGGATTAAGGAGAAGTGTGAAATCTAACTTCAAAGGTCTCACATGTGAAGAAATAAGATGATTTTTTCTGGTGATCTTGTGAAGTCAGCAACATGCAGAAATGACTTGATTATTGACCTTCTCCTAGGCACTTTGCAGTTTAAGCTGTAATGTTGTCTTGCTGACTTAGCTCTCTCCATGTACCATGGATTTGTGATTATTTCCCAGCCTGTGTAATGTTTGTGTGTCTTCACAGGTTCCAGTTTTCTCCTCCAGCCATGGTTAGGCAAAAGTGTGTTCTGTGCATTTCTCCATCACAAGGAGGATGCAGCAGTGTTAGTGCTTAGCAGTGTGTGATTCTTAGACAAATGGATAACTGTACTGGCAGCAGGAAAGGGGTGGGAGAGTAGATTGCAAAAAATGGATTCATTTTGCACATAGACCTCAAGATGTTTGAAATTATAACTACATACTGAGTTTGACCTTGCCAAATACAGGTTTGGATTGAGTTTACTAGTTTGGAGAGAAGCGTGAAATACCTGGGTTTGGAAAAACTACTAGGATTTTTGCCACAGCACCTTGCTGTAGTGCACTGAAACACTGATCTGCCCCCAGTGTGCCCTGGTAGCTGCTGGGTTGGGTGAGAGTGGAGATTGCCAAGTTAGGTCTGTGTAGCTAGTCCCAGCCTTCCTCCCTCCCTCCCCATCAGCACTAGGGTTCTTTTTTGAGGGGAGCTGGAGAGCTGAAAGCATAACCCTGCAGTTCAGTGGTGTTTCAGGTTTTTCCTCAGTTGTAACATTCTGCAGGTGAGATATTAGTCTACTAAACAGACCAAAATTAAAATTCCTTGCTATTTAAACCACATAGCAAATGTTCCTGAGCTCCAGTGTGCCACAAAGAATTGGAATATTACCTTATGTAACACTAAAGGAGGTTGCAACCAAAGAATAGAAGCAATGCAGTAAATTCTAGTGATGTATCAGGTCAGTGCTGACAAAAATACACAGTGTCCTAAATAAGACACAGAAATACTGGATATCAAAGCAAAGTAGCACTTGCAAATACAGAATTAGTTTGAGAGCTTCATCTGTTACAAGGAATGCAGAAGTTGCTATGTCCAGTTAATATACATGAAGCATTTTCCTTGCCAGATCTTCACTAAAAACTAGGCTTAGATGAAATAACTGTTCAACAAATACTGGAGGTTTATGCACTGATGTAAAGAAACATGAACTGTTGTGTTTACATGGTAAAAAACCTGTGTGTGTAGCCCTGAAGCTTTCTTGGAGTTGTAAATGTTGAAGTTTTATTTTGCTTTGTATTATTTGTAGTCTAGGAATCAGCTGAAATGCAGCCCAAACACAGTGAGTGCCAGTTTGGTGACACTGGGTTAGTGTTACCAACCAGCTGCTCTGGTTGAATCCTGGGGCTGCAAACTGGTGTCATTCCTCAGTGCAGATGTATGTTGTCAAGAGAATGAAATGTGGCTTTATGAGTAGGGGTGATGGCAGATTTTAATACAACTGTCAACTCTAAAAAAGTTCTAACCAGTTATTTGACTGTAGAAAGCTCTCTAATGTTTCTGCAGTACTTCTGAGCATAAGAAACTGCACAGAAAGCTGAAAACTATTTAAAATAAGTTGTTTCCCAAAAAGTTCCTAGCTCAGTTGTTTGCTTCAGTGGTTTAGCATCTCGTCTGGGAGGGTACAATACACCTTATCCACCTTCTTGTCTTGAAATGTTTGTGCAGAAAATAGAAATATGTAACTTTGTTAGAGGGTAAAACAACCCCAAAATCACCAGCAGCTGCTTTCAGTGGTCACTAACCTGCAGAGTTGTGGTGATCTCAGCCTGAACTGTTTCTTCTCTCTGCCCTCCCACAGGAGACGTTGATGCAGCAGCCAGTGTCATTCCATTAGGTCCTGTATCTCTGGTGTTGTGGAGTCCTCCAGCGATTAAACGAGAGCAGTGGACACATCTCAGCATGTCAGTCTAGAGCGTTCAGAACCGAAACCTGGGACAGGCTGGGGCCGTGGGGCAGCAGCAGCAGCCTCCCCTCTCCCCCCCCACCCCCCAAAAAAGCTTTTTGTTACGGAACCACGTTGAGGGTTAATCTTCTCACAGGAGCAGAAGTAATGAAGAGATGGTGACCTTGGCCCGCGAGCAGCTCGGTGAGAGCAGAGACCAACCTCAAGTTCAGACGGATTACCCTGGGACGGGAAAGGTCTTTGACAGCTCAGTGTGAGGGGAAAATAAAGTTCTGAACTCGCTGCAAGTTAACGTCATCTCCGCACGGAGCTGTTGGTGTTGGATGGATGTTCTTTGGGGGCTGCAAACCTACAGTAGAAACATGTAGAGCAAACGGCGAAATCCAACAGAAAACCCTGAGGAGCTGATAACTTACCAAACACTTCTTGGCAAAGACCTTTTTGCTTAAGGAATAGCCTTTTGCTGCCAGATGTGCAAGAAAGGGGGTGGGGAGGGGTGAAAAACTGAAGAGCCAAGGAGGTAAAGTGTCTGTTAAGGTTTGAGAGAGAAGGTGAAGTTGATGAACAGGGTGTTGACTCGTACTGCTTGGAACAGCCTGACACCAGCCTAAGGACAGGGATATAGTTGAGCCCATTGTATGTATCATTGAAAACCAAAATGTGCCAGTCAGCATAACAGGAGGATGTCAAGGAGTGGATCCAAATATTTTGTTGATCTTCATGGGTTGATAAGCCTCTGTGTCTATTGAAACAAAGTTTAAAAAAAAAAAAGGTTTAAGTCTGGAAACAAGTAGAATTTTTATTTTTTTCTAAGTAGAAATGAGGTTTCTTGGTCTGTTTCTGACAATCTGTTATTTATTAGCATAGGGTTTTGTTTGCTTTCAGGTAGAGGTAGTTCTTTGAGTTAAAGCATCTGTATGTTACTACTAATTCTTTTTTTTCTAGCTCTTTTAAAAAATCCTTTTTACCACTGGTTTTGGTTTCTGCATGTAGAGAGAGAGACTTGTACAATTGTAACATTTCATACAGAGACGCCGCCCGATCTTCACCAGCTTCAGAAATCTGACCTTTGCCAATGCTGCAATAAAGTGTTGTAATTTAGAGTCAGTGTGTGTCTCCTGACCTTCACTTTGTTCTTCGGAAGGATTCGTGTCCGTCGGGGCTGTAGGTCGGGCAGGAAGGCTAAGTCTTCATTCAGGTCTTATGTGATTCTTTTCATATTGGTTTTTTCCACGTGAAATTCATGGGGAGGTTTATTAATCACGATTGTAACTCTGAGCTCCTCCAGGAATGTCTCCTCCAGCAATATGACCATATCCACTGCTCAGATCTAATTTCCCCTTCCCCAATGAACAGTGCCTATCAATTCCTAATAGCAAATTATGCATCTAATTGTGGTCCAAACTGAAGGCAGCTTCCTTTTCTCAATGTGCTGCTTAGTTTCAAAAGCATTTAATTTATCCAGATTGAAGAACTGCATAAAAATAAAACATTAGCTGTGTTTTTTATGTGTCAATACGATGCCTTGGATGGAATTGGGATCAATGGAAATGTCTTTATGTCTTCTGTTTGCTAAAAATAGTTCAGGATCAGCTGGGGCTTTCCTTGACTTCGGGCTGAAATCAAAATTCATCGAAACCTTTGGAATTTCAGTTTTAAAATTCATTATTCTAATGTTGTGCTGAATAGAAACCTCAAAGATCTTTGTGAATGAAACAATCAGGGTTGAATGTATGGAGACAAACTTTTTAGCAGGGCTAGTAGCAGTAGGACAAAGGGTGATGGTTTAAACAAAGAGATTGATATAGATTAGATATAAGAAAGAAAATTTTTACAATGAGAGTGGTGAAATGCTGGCACAGATTTCCCAGAGAGGTGGCAGATGCCTCATCCCTGGAAACATTCAAGGTTTCAACCTGATCTAGTTGATGTCTCTGCACATTGCAGGGAGCTTGAACCTTTAGAGGTCCCTTCCAACCCAAACTATTCCATGATATACAGCAAAAAAATGTGCATCCTCTTTATTCTTTGCCTTCCCATTTGCTGACCCCACACCTTTGTTGTGGGGCTGGATGGTGTCCTGCTGCCTGCAGAGCAGTTTCACCACCAGATCCATGTGCAGATTGTTCCATGGCTTCCTCTCACTTTTACCATTAGAATCCTTCATCTTCCTTTAAGGAATGTTTAATTAAACTGGTTGGGTGTGAAGCCTGGGTTTGATATAGATAATATAGAACCTGTATTTTCATCAGCACTTGTCTGTTACCTGGGAATGTCACTGCTTTGTCCAGATTACAGGATGTTTAATTAATGAAACTATGTCTAATATTGTTGCTTC